TGAACTTCTGTTGTTGTCCAGCACCTGTTCGAAGTTGATATCTGCCTCGTGACAAGTATGAATTCCAGGAGATCCACTGCCGCCGAACCCGACTGAGCTTCAGCATTCAATGAGCTGCGTGATGCACAATGAAGCTTTAATGATCTCCAGTCCAGAATCACATAGGGAAGGTCCGGCACCCCTTCCAACACTTTCTTGTGAGCAAAAGAACACCCCTTGACTAGGTGATTTGATCCGACTCCCCAGGCAGCGTCCGAAACAGCTAGCATCTAAGTCATTTGAGTTTCTTTTGCCAAATCGAAGTGTTTTGTTTGCTGCTTCTGCGATGGATTGGTTGCTCCACTCACATGTTTACACAAAAATGAAATGCTTGCCGTCCACTGCATTGCTCCCAAAAGGCCACTGAGAGAACTGGTAAGCTCGTCGTGCTGCTTCTTTGACGTTGTCGACATGGGATTGATCTTTTTCATGTATTCCTCTTGTTGAAGTTTCCAAGCACCATTCTCACATGCTGGCAACTTGTTGTTGCAAAATTCGTGCTCACCCTTCTTCTTTGCGGTCCAGTGCTTGAAATTGAACTCCTTCTTCAGTGCTTCTCGTGCTTTGACATATTCTGTGCCTCCTTCGTCTCCAGCACCCATCATGTCATCCACGTGTAGACATTGAAGACGTTCAAAGACACCAATCGACCTTCAGCACCGTGCAAGCGATACAAGCAGTGATCCAGATCATGGACGGTGTATCCAACACAAAGCCGTTTGTTGTGGACATCCCATGGGCCTGCATGCATTTGATGGCATCTTGCACCACAGCGAACGAGACTGTTTGCCACCTTGCAAACATTCAATGCTGACATCTGCAGTGAACTTAGACCAACCTGCAGTGATCGCTAATGCCTAGAGAACCTGTTTGCTGATCCTTGACAGTGTCGGGCTGCTCGTCTCTAGTGCTCCCTTCAACAGGTCTGGGCAGTGAACCCTTGCACCTACATAGGTATGGAATCCTCTTCTTTTCTGAGAGGGCAAAGTGTCTTGCCAAACCATGACCCCTTTCCAAAATCATCGTAGGCTTTTGCCGCATTGACATACATCTTCGGCTGGCCATGAATAATCCTCAAGCCATTCTCAACTTGCAATTCGGATCAATCAATGCCTTTTGGTAGGGCTGCTTCTGAGAGGTGAAATGTCTGCTCCCTTGCCCGGAAATGATGCCGCACAAGGAGCCCATCTTCGTAGCCCCGGTAGTCGGTGGTTGGTCCAAGAACCAATTCCCGTCTCTTCTCATCGAATGACCAACCTTCTGCAATTTCATTGGGGCTTGTTTTGTGATCTTTGCCCTCTCTTCTGGATTCTGGATGTCAACTCTACATGGAAAACTGCATCCATCAAGTCTTTTGTCGTCCTTGGCTTCTTCTCCTCATGCCTCGTGCTGCCGCTCTTTGGATATGGTGGTGGATGTATGCTTTGTTGGCTGTCGGGATCTGTTGATCCTTTTGCCGTTCTGTCTCGTTCAGGTGGCCTCATCCAAAGCGTCTCCTGACGACTCAGGTGCGACCTCTTCTCTTCGAATGTCTCTGACATTGGTGTCTTGAACAATGGGTTAATCTCAACGTCTGGTTCTGATTCAGTTGGGGGCACCGACATTTGGTGGTGCTGGATGTTGGGACATAAGGTCATCATAGTGGTCATCATATGTCATATGTCATCATATGTCATAGCACTGGTGGAAGTTCTTCCGCTCTGGGCATCCCAAATGGAGTCGGCCTCCACTGGAACTGAAACGTGTCCTGGCATGCTCTCTCCAGTGTGTCCGGCTCTTATTGTGGTACATCAGAATGTGTTTCTGATCTGATTGATGATCCGTGTCATGTCATCAGCCGGTGGTGCATTGCCTGTCAACTCTACGTGTGGTGAGTTTGCTGTTGTTTGCTGCTACCTTTCCTCCTCACGCTGCTGCGGACCTTCTCCTTCCTGCTGTTGCCTCAACAGGGGATCTAGAATCTAGTAGCTCTTCATTTGCCATGTCTTCTGGATCAAGCTCGTCGATGGTTCGCTTGTTGACCTTTGACAGGTCTAGGACACGGACCACCGGTCTCGGGCAAAGACCTGACAATGCAGCCTTCGCATTCCTTCACTCTCTTCTTTGCTTCGATCATTCCTTCTTCCTTGGCATCTTTCACGTGTTGACGTCCTGCTCGAAGAAGAGATGGATCCATGGGCCAGCCAGTACGAGGCAATCGTACATGGGGGGGGGGATGGGGGGAGGGTGGGGTTGGGATGTTAACGGCACACCCATACAGCCATACAGCCGAAACCTTGCTACGCTACGCGCACAATACGAGTGACTGAGAGTGGGGTGGGGAGGGGTAGGGTGGGTTGGGGTGTTGACGTCCGTTCAAATTGCACACCCGTACAAAGGAAACTCTTCTGTGCTCTGCACACCAATATGTATACACGAAGTGTGCTTTGTTGTCATGACATCGCAGCCATTTATCTTGGTGACCAATTTCGTTTTTTGGACCGAAACATTTTACACAATGGAATTTTGACAAAATTGTTCGTTCTCCTGCAAATGACTAGTCGAAACGCAGTTCGCAAACCATTAAAGACATCGCTTGCGTGTTCATGTTTGGAATACACAAAAAACAGCGGGGTCATTAATGACGCCGCTACCTTGTTTATCCAGCGACTCCCTCCAGTATAGGCAAGGCATCTCTCACCTGGATTTAGTTCCTCATCTCTTCCGCAAAAACTTCTTCAGCAATGCCCTACTGAGCTTCACATCGACTTCTGCCTTCGTACATGCCGACGGTGCCGAGAACTTCAATTGCGATTGCTTGTGAAGACGTTTTTGTTCTACCATTTGCAATTGATTGATGGTTGCCTTGTCATTTCCCACCGCAAGCTGAGTTAGTTTGAAGCCATCCACGAAGGTGTGGTCATTGAATGATGGCACGACCCAACACAGCGCGTCATGTAGTCCTGGCAGATCTTTCAAGCTGTGCTCTTTCATGAAGACCTGCAGGTTCTTCCTCGGGAGTTCATGTGTTCTTTCTACAAGACTCTTGTTTGTGATTGCCAGGACTGACGCGCGTATGAACGCCGTGTTCTTCGCCCATCTCATGGTTCTGTCAGCTGGGTGATCATCGACAGACAAGCTGGAAGGCGGACCATGCATTTTGATTCAACTCCTCTCGATGACCTTCTGAAGTGTGATGGACTGTTCTTTTGAAATGGTTGGTGCTGCCATATACCTTGTTGCCTCATCAGCCATGACCAAAATGCCTACCTTCTTTACTTTCCCAAATCCAATCACATGACATCGGCTTGAACGTGCACATTGAACTCCTCGACTCTGTCCACCTTGGCGTTGACGGGCGACGGGCTTGTCCTTCAAGATTTCAAGAGGTGGAGCACTTCACTCCGATGCCCAAGGTTCCGATGCAGCCTTAGTAACAGGTGCAATTCGCTAGTAGAAACAAGTGCCTTACTAGTAGTAACAATGTTTGCTAGTAGAAACAAGTGCCTTACAACTGGGAGCAAGAAGCTACTAGGAACAAGTGCCTTACTAGTAGTAACAAGAAACTACTGTATGCAATTCGCACAGCTTCGGCTCCCTGCGCCTTGCCAAGTTTTTGCAGGATTCCTCAACTGCTCTTCTTGCCCGAGGGCTCCTGCAAGCCCTCTTCTGTCAGGGCTGCTTCTGCCAAATGCCTGGCCATCACCTCTGGGTAATCCTCCGCTGCTTTGCATCCCTGTCCTCCCTCCAAAGGCTCCAAATCATCGCCTGCTTTGTGGTGTGTATCGTTGTGGTCTTTCGAAAAGGTCTCTATTCTCCGTCATCTGACCAAGTCATTGCACCACATGCACACTGATCTGTCACCTTCATGCCTGGTAGCTCAAGAAATGCTGGAGTCTGCCAGGCTCTGGACAAGGCTGGGTGCTCAATATGGGCATGTCAACCGAATCTGACCTGGTTCATGTAAATGCGATGACAGAACTTCATGATCAACCCAACTACTTGTCCTCATGTTGATGGTCTCCATGGGTGACCACAAGGTGCACTTTGGTGACATGAATACTTCATCCGGCTCTCCTTCTGTGTGCAGCTCCATCAGGGCTTGTTTGTGACTTGCTTTGGCGAAGTTCCAGCCATCGGCTACGCCAAACCTCCTGATGTTTTCTCCGCATAGATCCCAGAAGGTCCCTTTTTTTCCTTGCTTCTGGTCTGGCCTCATTGACCATTCGTCTTTGTTTCACCTTCAGGTCTTGTACCTGTGCCTTACAGCAGACGAAAAGTCTCTCAAGGCTCTTAACAATCTTCTCCACTCCTTCCACCTTTATCTCTTCAAATCGATCTTGCGTCCTCATGTCCTCTAGAAAGTCGCTCCTCGGGTCAAACGTGGGACTGATGGATCCTCCAACTGGCGGCGCAATGAAAGAAGCATGCTACCTCGCTTCCTTCGCTCAATCTCCTTCCAAGGACCTCCCATGATCTTCATGCGTTTTCGCCAAAGTCAACGACGGCATGCAAACGCTCCACCATGGGGCGTCCAAGAAGCATAGGTGTGGCACCAAAGATGATGTATGCCTGAACGGGCAATGACAGAACGGGCAATGACACCATCCACCTGGACAAACCTTTTTCGTCTCCTCCAAAGCGAAACATTCTTTTGAACTCCAAGTGGCTCAGATCGAAGCTTGAAGTGAAGTCATGGCGAAGGGCTGACTGGCATTTGTCTCTGATCAACCATTGTAACAACAACGGGTAAAATCCTTCGGACTGCCTGAGCTGTAAACACCTCATCAAATTCCTTTGTATCAAACAATGCGTTTGCATCAGTGCTTGCTGCATCAAAGAAGGCTGTCTCGCCCTCTTCGAGCCAGAACGTGTCACTTGGGCTGTAATCATCAAGCCAGGCCTCAGTTTTGTCTTCCTTTTTTGACTTGATCCTGCTCCAGTCACCTTCCGCCACGGATGAGTCGGTGATTCTTCCATCTTCCTTGCTGTTACAACGGACTCCGGTGTTGAGCGACATGAGCATGCCAACGAGCCTGCCCGAGCGAGCAACAGATACAATGCTGGTTCAACAGCTGTCAATGTCAATATTGTGCCAATGTGCGTTTGTACCATAATTTGTTGTTCCTTGGCGAACGCCGCGTCACGCAACATAAGCCTTTTACTTCTGGAGGCAATGAAATCTGCAGCTCTCGAAGTGATTGGTTGAACTCGGTGCAATACTCCAGCAACGATTGTCCTGGTCGCCTCGCCATCTTGAAGAAACACATCTCAAAGGCCTCCGGCATCTTAACTTTCTCATCATGTTGCTACTGATAATTCAACCTTCTCAAGATGGGTAGCAGACCCTCGTTTTCGGCCAGTTCAGAAAACTCCAAATCTTCACACTGTCACAACGAAGCCCCGTCCAAAGCCAACCAAACATTCAATGCTGTCTCTTTCTCTCGGCCTTGTAACTTCTGGTGGTGAGAGTAGAGCTGAACTCGCTATCTCCACTCCTTGTACCCAGCTGTTGTGTTGTCAAGCTTTCGGAACGAAAACCTTGTCAGTGTTGGTGTCCGGTTGCTTCGATGTCGAAGTGTCGGGCATGGCAATCGCGTGATTGCTCGGAACCGTACTTTGACGGCTCCACGATGTGAAAGTAACAAACCAAGTCCTAAACCCACTGCGCTCAAGGTCAGAGGGAAACCAAATGAAACACGAAGTGACGTAGTGGCTGCTTGCGTGGCCTTCGAATATGACACAAGGGCACGTGAACCATTGAACACAGCGAAACTAGCATGTGCTTCGTTTTGTGGCACAAAACTAAAAATCAGTACATGTTTTTGTAAATTGGACATGCCCCCAAAGAACGTATACTGCATGCATGCTTGTTTGAGCTACCGGTGCTGTGAACGACCCGATGGCATGAATGCAATGTTGTTTTTTCTTATTATGCAACTTCCCTATCAACTTGGTTCTTGACATCGTGTCGTTAACAGCGTTGGGTGGTGGGGCGGTGACACGAAGTGCAATTGCAGTGGGGTTTCTGTGGGAAGAACAGCCAAACATGTCAGTCGTGCACATTGAGTGTGAGACCAGACAGGGCTTAAGTAGTCAGCGCAGGGAATTACAGGGGGCAGGGGTGGGGGGCGGTAATTTGCGTCCTTCATTCGCGCCTGTGGCACATTCTTTCATTCGACGGATGTTTTGGTTTCAGCATGCGGTCGCTATCACCGCGGTCACTTTTGTCTTTGTGTTTTGTGGTTTTGTTGCGTTTGTTGAGGGCTCCCTGACCCCATGGACAGTTTGAGGTTAGGTTTCAGATAGACGTTGAAAACGTGGATGGGTTGATCTGGTTGGGAGCCCGGAAAACATGCCTTTGAGTTGCGCAGACTTTCGAGTCTCGGAAGGCACCCCGTGGTTTCGAAACGTGCGTTTACAACATTTTGCAAAACATGCACATCCAAACCGCATTTGCACTGCAGATAAATAAATCACCTCAAGGTCGTGTAAAAATGGGCAACATGAGACACGATCCATGTATTTCTGAAATCTGTACACCTCTCACTCTCACGGTTTTCCCTTTGCCACTGCGACATGCCATTCTGAATCCACCGGGCCTTTAACAGCGCCAGTAATTACCTTGTTTGACCGACTGATTCCTTTTCTACGCAGACGATTACCGGCTGCAGCTTGTCCTACAAGCCGCCAAAGTAGTGTGTGCTTGATTTGGCGATCAGTGGACAATGAGGATTAATCATCATGATGTGTATATATATACAGTATATATGGAGGTATGCCATGTCGACTCGGTGGTCTGTGGTCAGGAGACCTACAACAAAGAGAATGGCAAGAAACCCACGTCGATTGAGCAGATTGCTCCTGGAACGAATCCGGAGACATTCCCCGTTTGATCCTCAGAGTGTCGCATGAGTTTGCACAAGGGCATCCAGCGACAGGCTTGGGGTCTTCAAACAGCCAAGGTGAAACAGAGTTCAAACCGAGCTAATTGAATGTGGCTTTGTCCCTTTCCGAATCCTTTGTATACTTGCACCAGCGGCTCAGTTTTAGGACAGGAAGAAGATGGACAGGAAGAAGATGGAAAAGTGGACACTGCGTCACTACATCAATTTTCTTGCACTCCCATGGGGACGCTTGAAGGCTGGCGACGTCACCGTTTCAGCTTAAAACTGTGCTCAAAACATTTGAGCCTTTCGTTTCCCTAAGAATCGGGTTTGATATATTTGGTTTGGGTTCGGACCCCTGCTATGGATGGTCCTTTGCTGTTTTGAGGGCCCAAGGATTCTTAGGGAGTATGATGAGTTGTCTGAAATTGTTCCAGAAAATTTGGCAGGAATGTTTGCCTTCGAAGAAGGGGCTAGAAGACAATGCTTTCAAAAACAATGCTACATGGCTGCAGTGAAGCATTCCGTTTGAAGATTTGAGCTCCAATTTCTGAGTCTGATTCCCGCTTCAAGCTTCGGCTCATAGTCGTGAGGTCAGAACACAACAAACATATGCTGACTATATTTTTTGGATTGTGAACACGTCATTTCGTCCTGCTGCGAGGATCTTATACGGAACATGCAAAAATTGCTTTTGATGTGCTTGTTTGATGGAATTGCTTGGGATGCATGGCCGCATGTTGCAGGTGTTGTGGTTGTTTGATGCTACTCTTTTGCAACCACAAATCTATGGGTTCACTGACAGGCGTCGCCAACCGGCGATGCCCTTGGGGGCACTGCGCATATCCGCAGGGTCTTTGCACAACAAAATGGACAAGTAGCACACCTTGTGACGCCTGCGCATACACACCTCCACACAGGTGTGTGCACGAGGGTCTGATGGACAAAACTTGGCAACCTCAGCTTCAGACACGTACGCACATGCACACCCGCACCCGCACGCACGCCAACGCACACGCGCGCGCGCGCGGGCGCGCGCGCACGCCCGTACACGAGAGCACGCACGTACGGCCTCTTCAATCATCAGGACTTTGTAGTGGAAAACGCAGAGAAGTCTTTTGAGTTTTTTGTTTATTTTTTGAACATTTTTGAACATTTTTCTAGCCCAAAGCTATCTGCGTTTAGGCTAGAAAATGTTCAAGAACTATGTTTTTAGCGTTTTCCACTACAAAGTCCTGACGGTTTGAAGAAGCCATATGATGTAGTCTCTTGATTAATAACCCCCCCCCCCGGGGTCCCCCCCCCCCAATCAACAATTGAGACTCCAGAACAATATGATAGAAAAACAATCAATTGATAAATAAATAAGGAATCCTTAGCTAGCTACCTCTGAAGCTACTCTGGCATCAAATCTCAACGGAAATCTCCAAATGTTTAATAGAAATCTCCATCCAAAAGGCTGTAAGATAAGCAAATCTCAGCAAACTCAAAAGGGAAAAAGTAAACTATAACAACAAAAATATCCCACTACAACTACCCCGCCCAAAAAAAACATACATTATTCTGGGGGCCTTTATTAATCTGTGCAGGGAGAAAAAAGTAACTATTCTAAGGTACTTTATTAATCCAAGGACCACATTAAGCCCAGGCGGTGCCAGAAATGTCGGCCGCAAACCGACCTTTTGAATATCACCAGGCCCAAACATGGCTACTGTAAAGCCTTATCTCTATAGAGAAAAAGTATGCTAAGAGGAGAGGAAGTTTTGAGGTAGCAGCAACCACTGGCATCACCAGAGTACGAGCAGCATTGTTCATAAACTACATACATTTTGCAAAAGCACTTTAATTTACAGTGTTTTGCGCCTAGTCATACACCCAAGGATTTGCATCTTTCCTGCTGAGACTCTGCTGATGCTAATGATGCTCGACCAAAATTTGTCCTCAACATTTGCTTTACAGCTATGGGCTCCCCTTTTTTTTGACCCACGCACCCTTTCTTTTTTGACCACCCCTTTTTTCCCCTTTTTTCTGACCCCCGCAACCGTTTAATTTGACCCTCGACCTTTCGTTTTTGACCCGCAACCATTCTTTTTTGACCCGCAAACATTCTTTGGCTATCAACTTTTAACAGTGACCATTTTGTAATTTCCCTAAGTTTTTGACGCTTTTTGAGGCATCCACAGGAGCCCGGGTGATGCTAGAAATGCGGGTCGGCAGCATGGACTGCGTCTCCATACTTGTGACGGCGCCCGGCTGTCAGGCGTAAGCCTTTAAATCCGGCGACGCCGTGCCATGGTCCCCTATCAAGCTATTGTAAAGCTTCGCAGACCGGCGATGGTTGGGCGCGTGTTCGGTATCGTGTTCAGTCCTGATTTGTTTGTTGTTTCTTTTGTTGCGGCTGTCCGTTGCATGCCTTTGTATAATCCGGGACGCAGAGATAGAAGAAATTCCCGAATATTCAGAATTTCAATATTCTATTTGAAACTGCTTCTGGTGCGCGCGAAAAACACATTCAAATAGAAGAAAAGGGCTTCGCCAGAGCATAAAGGAGGTGTTATATCATGTTATATAGCTACTTATGCAAAAACCACTAAATAGCCTAATATCTAATATCTTCTATCTGAAATCTGTCCGGTGAGGTACATCTTCTATTTGAAATGTTTGTTTTGGATCTTCTATTTGATTTCATTATTGGTCCACGCAGATTGTTTCCTTCCTCGCGGTCCGTTGTTTCTCCACTGCAGATGGCATCTCTGGGAAATATGCAAGCATTGATGAATAGATCTATTAATAGATAGATATATGGATAGATACATATTCACAACAACACAGCAAGAATATTCAGACTATTTGGGAAAGTCCCTTTCACGAGGCCCCAATGAGACTGATCTTAGGGGTAATTATTGGAATGCTTGATCTTCTTAACTTTGAGGGAGAAACCCTGGTGAGAGCAAAGCTCTGAAGATGGACTCATGGGTCAGGAAAAGGCTGCTTTGCACTCAGTTTCAAATAGAAGATATTGCCAGATTATTTTGCAACACCAAAATAATCACATATACATTTCTTCTTTTTGATGTGCTTGGTTGCTTTGGCAATATCTTCTATTTGACCTTCATTTGTTGTTCTGCTGTCTTGTGGATCTGACCTTCAGAAAAAGCAACAAAAACTCGAGGTTTTTTGCCGTTTTGTACCGGGATTCTGGACATCTTGAGTTGTGCACTAGGTCCTTTGATTTTTGGGTTTAGCTTGCACCGTCTGTCCCGGCTAATTTTTGGACAAGATCATCCAAAACTTCAAGACTTCACTGTAAATACCATGAAATCCTGCTTCTCTGGCAAGACCGTTCAAATAGAAGATATTAGAGTTCAGAGTGCCCAAACAGCATCAAAAAAGCATCAATGCACAAGGCATTTTCTTCTATTTAAAGCCTTGCTTGGAAACCACCAAAATTGCACCTTCTGTTTGAAATATTCAAAGCATTTCTTCTATCTCTGCGTCGCGGATTATACTTCTTGCTTGGTTATTAACTTAAGGTTCCTTTCCATTGCGTCGTGCGCGCGCGCGCCCGAGACCTCATATCAAACACGTTTGAGGCGCGAACGCGCGCAATGTGCTTTTACGCCAGGAAACCACGTAAATACTGATGGTTTTGGCTATCGAGGGCTCAAAACCACGGTATTTACAAGGCTTTCTCGAAAAACATGATATTTTCAGCATTTCGCGCACCATGCCACCAAAAACGTCGATATTTAAGCAGTTTTTGCAACGGTGCGACGTGTTTTTTCTAGATCAAAATTTGTGAAAGCGCTGTAATTTACACTGTTTTGCGCCTTTGCGCAAAGCGAAAAAAGGCTTCAAAGGCCCAAATGCAGCTCCTTTCTAGTTACCAATTTTTTGTCCAATTTGCAGTTTTTGGACGAGGGAGGAGGGACATGGGGGGAGTAGGGGGCGGATAGCAGACGCGCACACTTAGATTTATGCTCGCAAGAGCTAAATCCGTGAAGGTAGCCCACTCTAGTGAATACATTACCGGTTTAGAGCGCTGCCTGAGAAGCTGGGAAACAGCCCTGAGAGGGAACGGCAAGGTGAGTGATGAGTGAGCCCGGAACAATATGGTTTAAAATTCATCACTAATGACTACTATTAAAAAATGTTTTGCAGGTACAAGATGCTGCGTCCGGTATCTCTTCCAGCCGAACACCATAGCTTTGTTAGCACGGCTAGGTGAACGGCCGCGTACGGGTGTAGACACACACAAGGGGAGACCAGGAGAAGGATTGGGAGAAAATTGGGGCTGTCCTGCATGTTGGGTAGGTCATGGTGTGGGAAAGGGGCAAACTGTGGTGTCGATAGTGTTGGCAAAGTTAGAGATGGGATCGTCAAGGAGGAGGAGAAAGGAGAGCGGGGAGGCGAGAGGAGAGGAGGGAGATCCGTTTGCGGTGTGTGGCTGGAAAGTCACCGCTGCAGGTTTGAGGGGAAAGGCACGGGTAATTCATGGCGTCGACCTGAAAGGGAGGAACAGTGGGAGGCGGGAGCGGCCTGAACCACGGGCATAGTGGGACTTGTACCGGAAGGTGTATCTGACATAGCCATGATCATGGGCATAGTTGAACTTGTTCTCGAAGGCGTCGACGATGTAGCCTGGATCACGGGCATGGACGGGCATAGGCGAACTTGTAGTCGGAGATGTCATCGATGTAGCTCCATGACTACTTAGCAGCATGTGACTACTTAGCAGCAACCTCAGTGCGCCCTGCAGCATTCGATCAGCAATCTCAAGCAGAACAAACGAGCAGTGAAAATCAGAGTGAAGTTCACGCGATAGGGACGGGAGAGAGCACACGCTGCGACTCCGTGGCGGCGCGCACTTAGATTGATGCTCGCAAGAGCTAAAGCCTGAGAACCTGGGAAACAGCCCTGCGAGGGAACGGCAAGGTGAGTGAGTCCGGAACAATATGGTTTAAAAAACAAGATACTGCGTCCAGTATTTCTTCCAGCCGAACACCATAGCTTTGTTAGCACGGCTAGGTGAACGGCCGCCGTGCCCCCGCCTGTTAAATGGAATTGACAATCGGAGTGAAGTAAAACGAATTATTTTCCACTGGTCGGTGTCCTTTGGTATCCTTTGGTACAGGGGTGGCCACACACATATGTATATATATATATATAGACATATACGTTCAGGACGGATTATTGTTGCTGTTGCGGTGGTTCTGGTTGTGGTCTTGGGGCGAGGTCGAACCCATCTTTGGGCTATGCGGGGGCGGGCGGTCTTGGGGCGATGTTGAGCCCATTTTGTGTCTGCGTTGGGCCATCTAAGGCCTATGTTGGGCCATCTTGGGCCCATGTTGAGCCTATCTGGGGCCTATGTTGGCATATCTTGGACCCGTGTTGAGCGTGTCCTGGGCCTATGTTGGCCCATCTTGGGGCTTCCTGGGACTATTTTGGCCCATCTTGGAGCTATGTTGGGGGTATTTTGCACCATTTATGTTCACATACTCATAAGATGCGAGTTTTTGCGCCCCGGCCCCCTGTCCGAGGTCAAAGCCGCGTAAAAACCGAAAAACATAACGTCGCCAAGATGAAATCCGTGCCAGCCGAAGGGCCCGAAACCCTGTAAAACGCGATGTTTTTGAACACCACGCGCAGAATACACTGTAAATTACAGGGGGGTCGTTTCCCGGCATGGTCGGCGGCTGGGGGCGACCGTTGGTTACCTTCGGTAACCACTGAAGGCCTCCAGCAAGGACACGGCTTGGGCCCTGGGCCGCGCCCGGATTTAAAGGCTTCTGCTTCTGCCTGACAGCCGGGCACCGGCCGAGACAGGAGAGGGAGGAAGGACGTGGGGGGAGTAGGGGGACGGACATCAGACACACACGTGCACATGTAGACATATATGTATAGGAGGGATTGTTTGTTGTTGTTGTTGTTGTTGTTGTTGTTGTTGTTGTTGTTGGTAGAGACAAAAACAGCTGCCCAACATAGTTGTCACATGTTGCAAGTCAGCCCGAAACCCTGTAAAACATTTTGTTTTGGAACACCACGCGCAGAATGTACTGTAAATTACAGGGCGATCAGTCCCAACGCGGTCGCCCGAGTTGTCCGGCAGGGGGCGCGAGCGTTATAAGTTACCTTCGGTAACCACCGAAGGCCTCCGGCAAGGACACGGGCTCGGTCTCTGGGCCCGCGCCCGGATTTAGGGGGCCGCCGACCCGTGATCGGGGTCGGGGAGCCGCGGGGAGTCGAGTGAACCCCACCTATCCAACACACACATTTCCTCGTATGTAGCTTCCACCCCACGCATGGCCGCGCACACTGCATGGTACTGCGCGTGCCGCCGTGATCCTTCTCTTCTTTTGGGGGCAGCGTGCGCTTGCGGGGTACCATGCGTCCGACAGGGTCCGGGATGCAGTACATCAGACTGGGTCCGGGATGCGCAGGTACGGTCCCCAGTGCACTAGAAAATGAACAAATGTCAACGAAAAGTGCCTTTTTTCCTTTTTGTCCAAATGACGGCTGACCAACATCGCCTACCGCTCACCACTATCTCTCAACAGGAACACACCGGCCCCGCTCCGCTCTTGCTCACGTTCCTGGGCCTAGACCGGGGTCGGCGGATTTAGTGAGTTGAGCCGCATGGTTTATTGGTACCGCGGCCGCGGTGGGCGCATGATCGAAGCCCATAAGTTCTTACGTGCTATTGGTACAGGGTATGCAGGGTATTTGTTGTTATTATTGCGGGTCAGTCATACTTGATTTGGAACGGGGTTGCAGTATGCCTCCCAGGCAACTCATGAGCTGTCGATTTCCTTTTCCATTCATCAATTTAATCATATTTTATCGCTTTTAAATCCTTTTATGTCTTTGCGCCATGCAGCCCAAAAGACCGAATTCCTCCATGCATGTTTTGGCAGAGTGCAGCCAGCGCGATCTTTTCAGGAAAAGGCGGGAAATTTGCTGGACGAGGGCAAAAAAACATTTCGTGATATCGTGCACATGCCTTTGTCGGAAATATTGAAGACGGCTGCTTGGCCAAGTCTTGCCTTGAAGAACAGGCGTCCAACATGTCACCGCTTTGATTCTTACATCTGGCACACATGAGCCACGCACGCTGTAGGCTAATGTCGGGCCAAAAAGCGGCAGCTTGGCTAGATACCTACCCATAACATTTGACCGAACTTTGGGAATGTGGAACGGTATTTGACAGACTGCACCCCAAGATTGAGTAAGACCTGTTCCCTGTGGACCTCCACACAGCATGTTTTGCTCATCACCGCAATGTTTTTTGATTGTTTTGACTAGCATGTTTGTTTGTTTGTTTGTTTGTTTATTCGGTTTGGTTTAACACGTGTCGATTGATTTATTTTGGTTTACACTGCTTCCAAAAACAGATTCTAGATGCTTCTAGCATCAGTTCATTTAGCAGGTTGATTCAGCTTTAGTGAATTATTTACTACGCTGGTTTGGTGCAGGCCTTGTGTATCCGTTGAGCCGTTGAGGGGCGCATGTCCGGCGACAGGCCATGACAGTGTGTGGCCCCAAGCCCCAAACGCCTGAAATCTAAAAGTCCCAAAACCACAAATCTCATTCCACTTGAGCCGAAACTGTCACACAACACCAGCGATCATCATGCAGTGTGAACATGTTGGGTGTGTCCCATCACCTGTGTGTAACAGTCGGTAAAAGATTATCATGTTTTTTTGAGAAAGGCCTTCAACCTAAGCATCATCATCATCATCATCATCATCATCATCATCATCATCATCATCA